TTCCAATCTTTTAGTTATTTTAAAGTATACCCTAATTTATTGTTGAGTATAGTCACTTTATTGTGCTATCAAATATTGTTCATTCTATCTAATTATCTAACTATAATTTTGTACCCATTAACCATCCCCATTTTTTTTTCAACTGAACATTTATTGCACTCTTACTGTAGGCAGCTGCTAACACCCTCAAAATACAAAGCTGAGTAACACACAACTTCACCTTCAAGGACTGCAGAGAGACCAACTATATAAAAACAATTTCGTGGAAACATGTAGGAGAGAACAGTAATCTAAGTGAAAAAACACACTAGGGGATTTGAGATGGATATTTCACATAAGCAAAGTTCAGAGGCTTGAAAATACTGTCAGCCTAAAAATCTCGCATTTCACCTAGTAGCCCTAGTTAGTCCGTAGTCACCATGGCTTCAGCCATCTTCTGCCTCATCTATTTTTGCCACTCTGGACTTCCTTGGCTCTAGTTTACTCCTCCTATCTCCTGCATTTCTGGGGGAACATTTTAGCAAAGCTATTTCAAAAGCATGGCAAGTCTAATTGATCCAATAATTTTCCTCATAGAAATCTATACTAAGGAAACAGGGATGCTTTCAAAATCATAAATTACTTGTTATTTATATTAGCATAAAAATTTTCACCTTAAATGCTTAACAGTAGGGTACTGTTAAAATATATCTACATAAGAAATTATTAAACCATTAAAATTTGTTTTTCAAAGAATATTTAATAACAAGGTAGATAACATGTTTATCTAACATGTAATTTTGTCACTGTAGCTAAAGCAAACCATCCTGTTCACCAGGTAAAAAGGACCTCCTTTTATGTGTGTATTTCAGTGCAATTTAAAAAATACTGTAATTGCAATTTCAGAACTTCAGAATTTAAATAGGTGCCAGCGTTCTCTCCTTTTTTCGTATGGGCAAACAAAAATTCCTTTGGAAACCACTTGATGCTTGGACAAAAATTCCACAGCTATCTTCCTCAGGATCACTTTGGAGAGTCTTCAATATTCAAATACAAGAGAAGCTTCAATTCAACCTTTCAGAGAAGACATTCCAGCTCGCACAATCTCATCAACCAAGAGAATGCTGGTGGCAATCACAGTGCAGGAGTGAAGAAGCTGTTTCTTTACACAATAGTTATCCCATACGCCTACTTCTGTTGCCACCATTGGCTCACCTGCGTTCAAGTCCACACCCACAAGTTGACCTGATTCCAAATGTTCAGCCTGAATTTTAACTAACATTTCCTGAAGGTCAAAACCAGAATTCTGAGCAAGAACCTTGGGGATAATGAGCAATGCATCAACAAATGCTTGGACTCCAAGTTGGCCCTACCCTTTACACTGGGCTTACATTTAATCAGGGCTTCTGCCATTGCCACTTCTACTGCACCAGCACCTGGAACCACACAGCCATCATCAATAGCATTTTTGACAGCCCTCAAGCCATCTCTTATTGCATCTTTGATTTGAGTGAGTGCGTGCTTATTTGGACCTTTGACCAATAATGTCACAGAACGAGGATTGTTACATTTCTCAATAAAGGAGAACTTCTCTTCTCCTAATGTGTACTCATAGACAAGTCCCACATGTCCCAAACAGTCAGGATTTAGGTCATCAAAAGAATTTTGAGCTAGCCCACCATGAGCAAGAGTCAGCCTCTCCATATTTCTCCTTTTAGCTCTGTGCAGAGCTACTGTGCCTTCTTTTGCAAGAACATCTAAGGAAAAGGGGTCAATTCCCTTTTGATTAATAACAACAAATCCTTTATCTGAATCACCATGAACTTTCTTTTTCAGTTCTATTATTTTTTTATCTCTATCTTCAATGAATTTTCTTTCCGCTTTTACTAGTTTTTCTCTCTCTTCTGCACTCTTGTGAAAAAAGCCAGAATTCACTTCTGTTTTTTCATATTCTAATGACACATTGCACGTGAGGATGTAGGCATCTTCTACTCTTTTCTTCATATCAGGGTGCCGAGCTCCATAGTCCAAAACAAGCCCTCTGATTAAGCTTGTGTCAGTTTCAGATTTATATTTCATCTCCATGATCTCAACCATGAAGAGATCAATAGGTTCATTTGCTTTTTAATGGCCAAAATGGAGTCCACTACAGCCTCTGTTAAGACATCTGCAAGTTCAGCATGAACTTTAGTAGGAAGAGATGTTCTGGCCACATCTATAAGTGTTTCCCTGTCCATCTCTCTGCTTACTCTGACTTGTTCCAAAAAGTGCAGGGCCTTTTCCTTTGCAGCTTCAAATCCTTCAGTGATTATTTTGGGATGAAGCCCTTCAGAAACATAGAGATTCACCTGTTTCAGCAGCTCTCCAATGATTAGGACATTGGAAGTAGTACCATCACCAGTTATGTCATCCTGGGCTGTTGCCACTTTTGCTATTAAGGAGGCTGTTGGGTGTTGATTTTACATTTCGTGAAGCAGCACATTGCCGTCTTTGGTAAGCTTGATGTCTTTAGAGCCAAAAACAAGCATTTTCATGGTTCCCTTAGGCCCCAAGTTGGTCCTCAGCACGTCCTGCAGCCCCTGAGCCGCAAGGATGTTGACTGCCAATGCCGCCTGGGCTCGGGCCACCTCAGCCTTGGGGTTCAGAGTCTTCATGGCCGCCATAGCTGATCTAACAGAAGAAGAGGGGAAAGCTGGCGTGTGGTGCCGGCTCGGCGTGGCCGGGAGGTACTATCCGGGTCTTCTCAACCATCCCCATTTTGTCCCCCCAGACACACACACTGCCCTTACCAGCCTCTGGTAACTGTCATTTTACTGTCTGTCTCCATGAGATGAATTGTTTTTAATATTTAGCTCCCACAGGTGAGTGAGAACATGAAAGATTTGTCTTTCTGTTTTTGGCTTATTTCACTTAACATAATGTTCTCCAGTTTCATCATGTTGTTGCAAATGGCAGATTTCATTCTTTTTTGTGACTATATAATATATAACATTCCATTGTGTATACATACCACAATTTCTTTACCCATTTATGGACAATTAGGTTGATTGCAAATATCAGCTATTGTGAACAATGCTGCAATAAACATGTGAACACAGATATATTTTAATATACTGATTTCCCTTCCTTTGGATATATATATACCCAGCAAAGGTATATATCCATTGGGATATATATCCAATGGGATTGCTGGGTCATATGATAGTTCTGCTTTTAGTTCTTTGAGGTATCTCTATGCTACTTTCCATAGAAGTTGTACTAGTTTGCAGTCCCACTGGCAGTGTATGAGTATACTTTGGAAACTAGACATTTGCTAAACAAATTCCAAAAATCATATTAATGGTATTATTGTTGGGCTATTGATTATTGTAAGCTAACTTCTATAATAAATAGAACTCAAAATGTATAATAACTAAAATATAGTTCAAGTTTATTTCTTGCTCATGTATCTGAACTTATTTGTGAGTATGTATGTCAATGGCCAATTATTTAGGAACCTTTGGTGGGCTTTTTCATCTTCAGTAAATGGCTTCTAAGGTTTTGTTGGGAATCATAACCATTGCAGTTACTGACAAAAGGAAACGAGCATGGAAGAGTGCTCCCAGGAGGGTTTTATGGGTCAGGCCTAGAAGTGATAAAAGCACTTTTGCAAATGTTATTTTCTGTATCTGTTATCTATTTCTGTGCAAAAGATCACCCCAAAACTCCATGTCCTCAAACAGCTACAATTTATTTTTCTCACAATTTCCTGGTTTGATTGAATAGATCTTCTGCTGTTCTTGTTTTGGCTTACTCATGTGGCTACATTCAGCTGATGGATCAGCTGGGACCCGGATCAACTGGACTTGTTTCAAGGTAGTCTTTCATCCTAGGCTTCTACAAATCATGGCGATATCAAGGAAATGTTTTAAGAGGATGAAAATAGATGCTGCAAGATCCCTTAAGACTTACCTCAGAGGTCACATGCCCTAGTTTTGCCACATCTATTGGTTAAAACAAGTCACATGGCCAGCCTAAATTCAAAGAGGTTAGAAATGAACTCCACCTCTTGAGCTGAAGAGCTGCAGTCACATTGCAAAGCAATGGAGATACACAGAGACATTATCCACTGGGAGGCATTATTGTAACAATCCAGCACACATCAGAACTCAGATACATGGCTACACCCATGTAGAAGTTAGATTGAGAAATGGAATCTAATTCTGTGCCCAGAAAGAGAAGAAATCATACCTTTTAATGAACAACAGACAAGTACTTTTACAGTATTGTAGATAGCATGTTTTCGTTTATTTGTTTTCATTTGTAAACTGTGTTAAGACTCTAATAAAATCTGATAAGTAACTACATTGAAGGTTACTGTTAAGTACTATTACTGTATTCAAGCTTTCACTTGTAGCAAAGCCTCTTGGTATCATAATTCTTTCCAATGGGCTATATTTTTGTTGTCATTTTGTTGCCAGCCCAGTCTGGGCTTGATACCTTTCAGTTGTGCTGCACCTGATAAGCCATGGCAGTGGCAAATACATAAGTGAGATATGGGGAAATAGAAACCAAAGAAGTGCAATCAGCCTGAAGGCATAGTTGGGGTAGTACCTTAAAATCTCTTTTATGCCATGGTTAGGGATTTGCAGCTTATCTTCTTCTTGACAGTGTGTACTCTTGGCACATTTTTTTTTTTATTTCAGCATATTATGGGGGTACAGATGTTTAGGTTATGTATATTGCCCTTGCCCCCACTTCCCCCCCAAGTCCAAGCTTCAAGCGTGTCCATCCCCTGGATGGTGTGCATCGCACTCTTCGTGTTTGCATATACCCGTCCCCTCATCCCCACTCCCCCCTGCCAGACACAGCACATTTTTAAGGAGAAGAAAAAGATAAGCAGAGTTATGTTTTAGAAAGAAAAAATATAGTTGCCATAAATGAAATACTTTTCTGGGGTAAGTCAATGAGGTAAGGTAAATGATTATATTACATGTGATTAATGTCTGAATGAGTGTAGCTGGATAAAGGAGAGATTGAAGAGAATATCAGAATAAGAATTGACACATCTTGATTGCTGATGGTGAGCAAGAAGGTGGAGAAGCCTTATGCTGCACTTTTTGCAGTTTGTGTCATTTAAAGACACCTAGGCTACAGGGAAAGTGGAGGCTGAAATGCAGCTCTTATTCAACTTGCCAATCTTTGAGTCTTGTTAGAACTATATATTCCTACAGAGAATGTGTTGTCTCCTAAAATATCTGTCAAGTGGGGCATCTATTTTTAATTTATCCACCAATGAGATGCCTTTTTAAAGTTCTAGCATCTAGAGAAGTACCTTTTTTTCTAAAATGTAGAAAAGTAGTGCTTAGCCTGGAATTAGTCCTGGGTGAAAAAGTTAAGGATAATATTTGAGTTTATGACTTGAGTTATTGGGTCACATTTTAGAACTTTGCTTTTCAAAATGTAGTCCTTGGAACAAGAGCATCAGCATTATCAGGCAACTTATTGGAAATATAGAACATTCAATCAGACCAGGCAATTAGAATATGGATTTTAACAAGATCAACAAGTTATTCATATATACATTAAAGTTTGGGAAGCACTGCACTAAAGCACAGATAATGAATGCCTCAGAGTTTGGTTATTAGGGAGTATTCCTGCACGTGCCTGGCGAAAATGTCCTCTAATTATATATGAAGGTCATAGGCCAGCACATCCAATAGCTTCTTGCCATATCTGTAGAGGACCCAGAGGAAGCAAGATCTTTCCAAAGCTTTGAAATAGGTAAAATAAGAAGAGGAGACATTTTACAAACTGATAAGAATAAAAAAGCATAATAATTTGCATTTTGCAATATTTATGTTGGCAGAGTTCAGTAAGAGTAAAAAAAGAAAAAATGAAAGACATATATAAGGGTGTACTAATTTCCTGGAGCAAGATCATAAGTAAATATCAAAAATTTGGTGGCTTAAAACAACACCGATTTATTCTTTCACAGTTTTGGAGGCTAAAAGTCTAAAATCAATGTATTGGCAGGGCCATGATTTCTCTGAAGGCTATAGAAGAAAATCTTACCTTGACTCTTTTGGCTTTTGATGCTTCCTGGCAATACTTGGCCTTCTTTGGCTTGTAGGTGCACCACTGCAGCCACGTAGTCATCTTCTCACTGTATGTCTTTGCATTGTCTTCTCATTGAGCCTGTCTGTCTCCATGTCCAATTTACTCTTTCAATAAAAAGAGTAAAAATTTACTCTTTCAATAAATTTCAATAAAGAGAAATCAAATTCACTCTTTCAATAAAGCAAACAGTCTTATTGAATTAGGCCCACCCTTAAGACCTCATTTTAACTAATTGCATTAGCAATAACTCTGTTTCCAAATAAGGTCACATTCTGAAGTAGTGGGGATTAGGTTTTCAACACTATTTTTTAAGGGACACGAGTCAGTCCATAAGAGAGTGAATATATAATTATCACGAATTTGTTTTAGTGATATATTAGGGACTCTCTGATAACTTACCTGAGAGTTTCCACAATCAATAACATAATAAATTATATCGTACCTAAAAAAGAAGTAGCAATCTAAATAGAGTATTAATTTAAAGTAACATAAGAGTGGGAATACATGAAAGCTATAGGGTCAACTAAATCATAAAGCAAATAAAAGGTTAAGAATATTAAGCATATGAAAATCATGGACAGGATATCAGTAAACATGCCTTGAAAGCAGAGTAGAATAAAATTCTTGAGTTCCACATGCATGCAGACTCCTAAATTGTAGGCCCTCATCAGCTGTTTTCTATGGCTTACTCCCTCACTACTTCTCAGTCTCTGCTCAACTTTCAATCTACTAGTGAGGTTTTTCCCACCCACCCTGTATAAAAGAGCAATCCTTCCACACTTTCAGGCTTTCCCTATCACTCTTACCTTGCTTGATTTTTCTCCAAGCATTTTACTGCCCTCTGAAGTACAATTTATAATAATTACCTGTTTATTTCTTTATATGTCTCTTCTCCCAATCATATAGAATCCTTGAGTGCTAAAACATTTTCTTTACTGTTCCCTATTGTTTTCAAGATTAGTCTCATATCTCCACCTGGACATAAAACGAGCATCCATGAATGTTTGCTGGCAGGCACACAATCCTCCCAAATATATAGTTTACAAAATAATTACCAAAATCTCCTTATTTAACATGTCTCCAGATAAGCTATCTTTGATATATTCTATTCAACCTTTTGAGGACAGTAAAGAGAAAATTTTCAATTAATATGAAGACCACAAAAATAAGCTTTTTGTGAGAATCTAGAAATTTAATGAAGATAGTATAGTAAGTAGAGAGAGCAAGCATGAAGTTAAGACAAGATTTCTGTCCTTTTCCATAGTCAAGTCCAAGTACAGAAATTGAAGACAGTTGGTTACAAAATAGACAACTCCCTACTAAGATGGCATTGCTTTTAAAGGGAGTCAGAGTCTTAACCAGAAAATCCCTTTCTTCAGAAAATACAGCTGGATATGTAAACATAAGAGTAAAAAAAAAAATCATACAGAATATTCAGTAGAAAAAAATTTCCAAAAACAGATAAAAAACAAGACAAAATATTTTTCTGTAAATTAAAAAAAGTTAACAAGATGATCGTAGCTAAGAAACAAGGCCATGATGTAGAAATTGCACTAAGTCAAGA